GACATCTCCGAGGAGCCGGGGACACTAGAAGCCTTGTGCTGGGCTCTGCACAGGATGAATTTCACCCAGAAGCTCCAGATGCTTTGAGTGGAATTTGGGGCTCCTGCTCTGTTGTGACGTTATACAAGCTGAAGCTAAAAGAACAGGAGTACTTGTGGCACCTTAGAGACTATAGTGAGCGAGCTCCTGGGAGATGGCGCGTTACCAGGTGATATGGGCCTTGCACACCCCTGCCCTTAGGGCACGGATAAATACTAGAGAGATCCAGAGTCTGAACCATTCATCCAACTGGCTCTGAACCTCAGGGGAAATGGAACCAGCCCCCTCCACCAAGCCTTTACCAGGTCACCTTCTACAAGTACTGGGCCTGATTTCCCTCCAGTATCAATCAGGAGTATCTCCATTGAAGTCAGTGGAGTTACACTTGTGTCAGTGATGTCAGTGGGAGGAGGGCTGGGCCCACTGTTTCTGGCAAGTTGGAGGAGCGAGTGGCTGTCACCTGCACCCGCTTGCATAAAAGCAGCTGTAGCTGCTCTCACTGCTTGAGAAGCCTGTGATCAGATTAGAGCACATGTCTTTCCTCCTACGCACGGGCTAGGGGGACTTTGAATGGCAGCACTAAGGTGTTGTCAGGGGCCCTGGGGAGCAGTGGAAAGCGTCTATGTAGCAAGGCATCCGTTACCCAGACAGAACCCTCCCTCTGAGCTCCTGTGCTTTCCTGCCTTGGGCTTGCAGAAGAAGGATGTGCGGATGCTGCGCTTTATCCAAGAGGTGAACACCACCACCCGCTCGTGCGCCCTCTGGGACCTGGAGGAGGACACCGAGTACATTGTGCACGTCCAGTCCATCAGCATCCAGGGCCAGAGTCCAGCCAGTGAACCCGTCCTCTTCAAGACCCCCAGGGAAGCCGAGAAGCTGGCTTCAAAGAATAAAGGCAAGTGTGGGCGAGTTCTTGCATGGCCCCATGGGCTGCCCCAGAGGCAGGGCAATGTTGCCCAGCAAAGTGGGAAACAGTGCCTGTTGCATTCAAAAATAAGACCAGCCGAGTTAAATGCAAACAGGGCTAACGTCGCTTGTTGCAGTCCCATTGTAGTCAGTGGGATCAGACCCGTGTAACTACACACAGGACTGGGCATGGGGGATGTGCAGACGTAACACATCGGCAAAGTGTGTAGTGTCCTGGGACTCTCTTAGCCTGCATGTTACACACAGGTTCTAGAATTTCTGTTTACATTCTCCATGGGTGTTTGTTACTGGCCCATAGAAGCGTTTATGAGACCAAGGCTAAGGCTCAGGAGTTGGGAGTTCTCAGATGGTGGAAATACTGTGACAAGACCTGATCTCTGGTAGGTTCAGCTCCCTGAGGCAAAAATAGAACGTCAGTGAAATACACCAATACAGAGATGAGATCTCAGCCTAATCCTCAGCCGGTGAAAGTTGGTGTGGCTCTGCTGACTTGGAGCTATGCCAGTTTTCACCAGTGGAGGACCTGGCCCTCATTGTTTATTCAGACTCTGCACAAATGCTGGGGAACAAACAAAAAACCGAACAATTCACGGGTGCCCGTGTTAGTGAAAGTGCCTGAAGATGACATGATGGGGTCAGCCACAGGAGTGCTCCTGGCCTCACCTGCCCCCTGAAGTCACTGGCAGCTTCTGCTGATCTCTCACTCTCTCTCCCCATGACTGGGGTGGGGTGTTCTGGAGGAAACTAACAAGGGTCAGATTGGAAACCGGGATGTAGAGGGAAAATCCTCCTTCTTTCATCCCACTGCCTCAGGCCATTCAGTCCCCTATACCTGAAAGGCCAAATTCTGAGGTGAGACTGAGCCTACGGGGAGTGATGGCAATGTTATACCTTCAGATGGCTCCCTAAATATGCATGTTACACCAATTTATGTTCCTTCAGTCTCAGCCCCTCCCACTGGTGTGCAATTCACCCCCCCTTTACATCACCTCTGAGTCAATGCACTGGGTCTAGCTGAGTGTGAATGAGTCTAGGAGAGGCTAAGCTGGTGTAACTCATGTCAAGAAGCCGGAAGTGAGGTGTGCAGCATGGAAAGCAACTGACAGGGCGGAATAAGGATGTGTAAATTAAAGGAGGCCGTCCCTACTTTCTTATTGCATCTTCCAGCTGCTGGGCAAGCAAGTTCCCTCAGCCTAGACTCCCTTAAACTCACACCAATAAGTGGGATAAGCAGCACTAAGAGTTTGAATGAGTGTAGAGGAATCTAACGCATACCAGCTACACATCTCAGACTGCAGTCTGAGACCATACTAGTGTCCAGACTGGGGTATTCCCTAATGGTAAGGACACCAGAATCCTTGCTGGTAATGTGACTTTTGTATATCACATTAACCACAGCAAGCCCGGCCTGTTTCAGTAACATAATGCCTAGAACCCCAGCCGCTAGTGCTGCCAGCACCTGAATCTCCATTGCTCTTTCCTCACGGGGCAGCTTAGAGGCAGAGGGAATGAGGACTGTTCTCAGGACTAGTGTCTGACAGGAGCACGCCAATCAGCCTAGCAAATGAAGAGTGCCTGGGGAAATTCTTGGTCCAACTCTGCACGCAGTTTGGGACAGAACTCCTGGGGATCCATGCCAGGGATGCTGCAGCAGCATTAAGATGAGGCTGTGAGAGACTCACTAAACCTCCCTGCACTTGGATTCTAAAAGACACCAATGGATATCCTGCTTTTTTAAAATCTGAAATGTTTCTGCCAAATCAGTTACTGCCAGCCAGGGAAGTGCTTTTTAATTTGTCCCTTCTGAGCAGACATCCAGCCAAAATCAGATGGTGCCAAGGCAAGTCAAAGAGATGTTCTGCAGCAGCAAGGCACTCTAATGAACAGGGCTCAGGGAGGAGCAGGAGTCCAAGTTATAAAGGGTTACTAGATGATAAGGTTAGGCCAGATTGTATTGCAGGGTTCTCATCCACGGTTCCTAGGATGCTGTGAGTTCTTGACTCTTTCTGCTGAAATGATTTGGAGCCTGTCAATAGTGAATTGCTGTTCATCTGAAAACACTGAGAAGAGCATTGTCTGCTTCCCGGGAGATCTGAACTGCAATCTTCTTGGTCCTTCGAGGCCAGGGCTGTCCATTATGGCTTGTGAAGAGGTACTACTCATTCCTGCATCCCGCAGCTCTGCTGAAAAAGATTATGCCGACCCTGCATACTACAGGGCATAAATCCTGAGCTGGGCGGGCAGGAATTCTGCCCAGAATAGTGATGTGATGGCTAGAATACACCGTGCGGAGATACTCCAGTAATGGGTGCACAGAAAACTCCAACAGAGAGAGAACGGAACGGGGATGCTAACAGCTGACTGAGGCGTGATGACGCTGAACAATTCATGCTACTTTTGAACCTTGTGCACTCACCGTCCAAGCTGGGGCACATAGTTCAACGGGTGTCCAGTGAGAGATTTTAATGTGGTCAGCTGGGGTTTACATTTCCAAATCTTCCAAGGGGTTTTCAGATCTGCAGCCGCCCAGTTTTGCTCACTAAATATCGGTGAGTTTGGGGGGAGGGGAAGGAGCATGTGAAAGGAGCAGGCAGAGTCTGACTGAGCTCATTGCACAAATGGAACTCATTGTCTCTCTCTCCCCTGTGCAGATGAGGTGACGATGAAGGAGATGGGGAAGAACCAGCAGCTGCGAGCTGGGGAAATTCTCATCATTGTCGTGGTGTTATTCATGTGGGCAGGTTGGTAGCAGTCCCTATGACGAAGGCATGTAATGTCCCAGAGTCGTGTGTGTGTGTGTGTGTGTGTGTGAGAGAGAGAGAGAGAATATACACCCATGATGGCCAGGAAGAGATATGCAGAGTAATCCCTACCCCTTGTATACAGCATTGCACATTTGGATATAAGTGCATTTCACCTTCCTCTGTAGCATCAGGTATTGGCGACTGCTGGAGGCAGGATACCGAACTGGCTGAAGGAGTCTCATTTAGTACAGCAGGAGGTAGTATCATGGATTTAATGAATCAATTGTCTGATCTGCTGCGGCAAATCCTATATTCTCAATCCTTCCAGAAAAAAAAACGGATGGTAATCCCCTTAACCCCACACCAGAATCCAGCCCCTTCTGTTTCATTAACACAACGCAGCGCACGTGAAGTGTGCCACTGTCACTATATCTGGCCCATTACATGCCTGCAGGTCACACACAAGCCAATAATTCTTCTGAAGAGGTGTGGCAATATTCTAAAGACAAACATCGCAAATCAAGAGTGAGTTACAGCCTCCTGTCTCACTCTCAAGCATCCGTCATTCTATATTTACTAAAACCCACGTTTGAGATCTAGTACAATGATCGAACTGTTAAAAGAACAAATGATCTGAAGCATTCAAACACAAAATATCAGGTCAGCAATGAACCTGAATCCTTTTAAAATCTGGTATAAGAATAAAAAGAATTGTTTACAGGGCAAATTTCCCACACATCTGAGAGCAAAACTGGTCAACTCTGTACTATTATCGATGAGGCTATGGAAAGGATGAAGACTCTGTGAGCAACCAATCTGCAAAGGTCTATGAGTGGTATAGGATGAAACTGTACAAGGAAATGCCCCAGTCTGAAGAATTTGTGTGTGTGTGTGTGTGTGTGAGAGAGAGAGAGAGAGTCACACTACAGAGTTCCAGTGACATCAGCCTAAATTAGATGATTTAATGGTCCCTTCTGGTCTTAAAACGTATGAACCTATGGGTGGGACAGGCCAAGGGCAAGGGAGGAAAAGGGTAAATTTGTAGCAACGACAAGCAAGCTAAATGCCAAAAGTAGCTGCTGAGTGCACAGCACATTTTAAAGTCCAGCCACGTGTTTTACCTAAACGTGGACTTAGGAACCTAAACCCATTTTTGAAAATCGTGGCTTGATCTTGCAGACCTCATGCAACCAAAAATCCCATTGATTCAATGGGAGCTTTGCTGCATCAGGGCTACAGGTTCGGGGCCCATCTGATTTAAAAGGTAATACTGTAGGGTCAGACCCACAGCTGTGGCTGAAGAGCGCTTGGTGCTGTGGCAGGATGGAGCAAAGATCCCCTCTGCAGTTTTTCAATCCTGGAGCACTTTGCAGTGGGATTGGGCCTAGAAGAGTGCCCACGGGATTTCCTTAGACAATAGTGGCTTGGAAGGGGCTGCTAACAGGTGGGTCAATAAATCATAGAAGATTAGAGTTGGAAGAGACCTCAGGAGGTCATCTAGTCCAACCCCCTGCTCAAAGCATGACCAACCCCAACTAAATCATCCCAGCCAGGGCTTTGTCAAGCCGGGCCTTAAAAACCTCTAAGGATGGAGATTCCACCACCTCCCTAGGTAACCCATTCCAGTGCCTCACCACCCTCCTACTGAAATAGTTTTTCCTAATATTCAACCTAGACCTCCCCCACTGCAACTTGAGACGATTGATCCTTGTTCTGTCATCTGGTACCACTGAGAACAGCTGAGCTCCATCCTCTTTGGAACCCCCTTTCAGGTAGTTGAAGGCTGCTATCAAATCCCCCCTCACTCTTCTCTTCTGCAGACTAAATAAGCCCAGTTCCCTCATCCTCCCCTCATAAATCATGTGCCCCAGCCCCCTAATCATTTTCATTGCCCTCCGCTGGACTGTCTCCAATTTGTCCCCACCCTTCCTGTAGTGGAGGGCCCAAAACTGGATGCAATACTACAGATGGGGCCTCACCAGTGCTAAATAGAGGGGAATAATCACTTCCCTCGATCTGCTGGCAATGCTCCTACTAATGCAGCCCAATATGCCGTTGGCCTTCTTGGCAACAAGTGCACACTCTTGACTCATATCCAGCTTCTTGTCCACTGTAATCCCCAGGTCCTTTTCTTTAGAACTGCTGCTTAGCCAGTCGGTCCCCAGCCTGTAGCGTTGCATGGGATTCTTCTGTCCTAAGTGCACGACTCCACACTTGTCCTTGTTGAACCTCATCAGATTTCTTTTGGCCAAATCCTCCAATTTGCCTAGGTCACTCTGGACCCTGTCCCTACCCTCCAGCATATCTACCTCTCCTCCCAGCTTAGTGTCATCTGCAAACTCCACCCTGGCATCAAAATCCTTCCATACAATTTAAAAAAAGAAATAAACCACCCAGGGAGCTCAGGAAAGCAAAGAATTCCCCATTATGAGTTTGAGATCAGATCTTCTCCTGGTGTAAACTGGCATAACCCCTTTGAGCTACATCGGTTTAGACCAGAGGAGGAGCAGGCCCATCTGTTTTAATCTAGCAAATGTATAAGGAGAGTGCACCCTTACTCCTTTGATCAGCAGCCAGCACTATGGCTTGCCCAGGTTGGGATCAGGGTGCCATGAGTTAATGGAAAAGAAAGTTTGTGCTTGTTTGTTTTCTGTATAGAGCGCCAGCTTCCTCTGGCCTCCGTTCAGCAGCTGCCTCTGCTGCTGCTGCAACATAAAACATTCATGAAACAGCACGATGTTTTACTCGTGAGCCACATAGTCACATTGGTCGGGGGAAGATATTTCAGGTGAAACAAGGGAACTGGCATGCAAGGACATTTACGGTAAAGTAGCTTATATAACCCATAAAGTACAGTTGGTATTTACTCCCATTGTCCTGATCATAGGAACATTCTACATACATTGTGTGTGCAGAAAAACGGCTACTGTTGGAAAGAAGCCAACCAAAGCTAGAGATGTGTGGTTGAGGGGACAATCCCCAGCTATCTTTCAAGAACATGCCAGGGGGCTCACAGGAGAGGGTAAAATGTGTCTCCCTTTTGCTCAGGTGTTAGTTTTGCTCAGGTGTGTGACAGTTCTGTCCCTTAACTGTTGAAGGCTGGAGACTTTCCCTATGAAATAGGGATTCTGGACAATGGGTTCATTCTTCAGCTGTGCCTGAGCTCCATTCAGTCAGGGATTGTGAGAGCTGAAACCCCTTCCCCCTAGCCATGCCATCAACATGCTCCCTATGCCCGTAGCTGTAAAAGGGGGTGGCATAGTCTGCTATGTCAGTTCTGTGCCACCCTTGGATTTCCTCATGCTGGGGGAATCCTCGACTGACTGCTGAAGCTGACTTTACAGCCCCTTTGCACGACTTGAGCAGGATCTGGATTGTTGCCTGGCTTTTGTAAGACTAACCACCTTAACATTCTTATAATTTTGTGTGTGCGTGTAGTTTCTTATTTATTAATAAAGCCCTGAAGATTGATAGGTTTTGAAGGGTTAAATCGTGTCCTCAAGAGACAGTGGGCTTAAATCTCTGTGGTGTAAATTGCTGACTTCAGTGCAGCTATGTCAAATTTACACCAGCAGAGGATCTGGCCCATTTATGCTAAACTCAGCTGAGATAGGATTCCCCTTCCCCGCCCCCGAGATATGAGGAGATGAAATCGAGTCACAAATCTGAGATCTGACAACAAATTTTGGTGGTTAATAATTTAAATAAAAAGGGAGGGGGCTTAATGGTGTCCTGTCTTGTTCCCCTGGATTCTTTCCAACTGTAAGTGAATCCAGAGGGACTAGCAGCAACCAGATAAGATTCATATATAATTTTTTCCACTGGAAAAATCTTGAGTTCACCATGCATTGGTACCTGCTTTCCACAGGGTTAGATTGGGTTCCAGTCACTGTCTCCAATCCCTGATCCTTTAAAATAGTTAGATAAAGAAGTTACTGTCTCTGCGCATTAAGAGCTAAATCTCCTACCCTGTAAAAATCATTTGGGGGGTAAAATAATTAAATGAGATAGCTAAAAAGGTTTAATCTAGACAAGTAATTAGGCTTCATCTTCCGAAACTCAACTCATAATGTGAGCACAGAATTGTCCAACATCCTGAAAGAGGCTTGTAAATTCCCCTTCTAGACAAAACGACTGCCATTTACCAAACGTGGGTGGGTAAAGAAAATCTCACTGGAGCTGATGAACTATTTACAAAGTTTCATTCTGACCATGACTTTTCCCAGCCCTGTGGCAGAGCCATCTGAGACTCAAGTGTGGAATTATTGGTGAATGGAAACTACAGTTAATCTGAATGTACATACATGTTCACTTTATACACTAAGCTTCTCTGATGACCCAGTGCAGTGGGCATGACTTGGTGTCAAGACCCGGGTTCTAGTCCTGGCTTTGCCTCTATCTCGCACCTGAAAATGAGGATGATGATACTTTTATGCAACCGTCTTCCCATGGCTGACAATTTGCTTGCATGCAAGAAAGAACTTGTATAACAGCACTACCTGGCGACAACTCTCATAACAACACCTATCACTGTTAAGTGCTTTGTGACTGACAGATGGAAAACTCTATATACATTCAGAGTATTATTGTTATGTGAGTTGGATCCTTTTCCAGTAGGCAAGAAGCAATGACCTTATCTGTTGCCCTTCCTCCCACCTCTGTTACTTTGCGTTGGAAACCGGCAGGTAGAAAGGTGGTTATTTGGTCAGAACATAACACAAAAGCCGCTGTGAAAGACATTTTCACTCTCTTCATTTGTCATGGCTGCCCCTGCTTTGTTCTCCACACCCCTAAATGTGTGGGAGGACATTTCCGCTGGCAGCTCATCCTGCTGTAGCTGTCATAAATTTGCAGATGTTGTCCTGCTGAGCAGGAGACCCTGGTTTGTTTCATCAGCAGGCAGACACGAGTCATTCATCACATCCTCCAGCTCAACTGCACCCCTCTTTGCTTCAGAAAAAGAAAGCTTTGAGGGCGCATTTCCAACGAATGGGAATTCCAATATGCCCCTGTGCTTGCAAAGCAAAGGTCACACTAAATCTCCTGACATGGCCCGTGCAAACTGCTATCCAAATGGGAAGCTTAAAACATTTGTCCTGTTTAATGAAAGGGAAGTGGGAGTACAAGTAATCTCCTGACCTTGTCTGACTGGGTTAGAGTGGAATTTGGCACTGTGAAGGAAGCAGCCAGAGCCCGTCGAGTCGGATTAGAAAAGGATCTTTGGGACTTGGTGTCAATGCTGCTGAGGTCTCTGCCACAAGGCGCACAGCAGCAGGCTAATGGGCTCTGATCATTGCAGGTTCCAAAGCCCTGGCTCATTCATGTGACCTCTAACACTTTTTCCTCTTAGGAGTGATCGCCCTGTTTTGCAGGCAGTATGACATCATCAAAGATAACGAACCAAATAACAACAAGGAGAAAGCCAAGAGTGCGTCTGAGAGCAGCACTCCGGAGCACCAGAGCGGAGGGCTCCTGCGCAGCAAGGTAAGATGCTGTCGGCACACAGTGGGGGATGAGGCAGCCAATCAATTTCCAGCTGGGTGTCTGCTGAATTAACCTGAAAACCAACCTTCTGTTAAGGATCCCAGCTATAACATTCTCTCTATTGGGCCAATGTGTAGAAGTGGGGCCCCCCATGACAAGGGAAAACAGCATGGCTTGAAAGTACAACTGCAAGTCAGGATCCTTGGGTTTCATTCCCAACTCTAGCACTCACTAGGTGGCCTTGGCCAAATCACTTAATCTCCGTGCCTCAGTTTCCCCCTCAGTGACATTAGGGTAATAATATCAACCCGCATTTGTAAAACATTTTGAGATCTTTGGATGAAAAGTGCTGTATTTGGGTGATGGATTATAATCTGAAAGCGGGGAGCCAAAACTGCTATGTTCCTAACCCCACAGCGGTGATTACAGATCAGAAGGCTAGGGGCAGATGGGATGTTATAAGGCTGTTCTCAGATAACAGCTTATCAGCTGTTTAAGAGAAGGAGCTGCTATGAGGTTTAAGATATGTTGTGGCAAATGACATCTATAATGTAACTAGAGCTGGGCAAATAATTTGCACCAAATCATTTATTCAATAAATTTAACTTTTTTTCCTGTTTCCAAATTGCTCAGGAGCTGATCCTCATTGTCTTTCATTTATTTATTATTTGAAATTATTCACTAATTCCCATTCCTGCTCATTTTTGAGCAGTTCATTGTGAGCATTCAGAGTTCGAGCTGTGTTAGTTACTTCTGATTAGGCACATGGGTCACATGAGACATTCCCTAGTCCCTTATTGGATGGGTGAAACTCTGTAGAAGCAGGTGTGAGACGTGAATATGGATGGTTACGAATTCAAAACTCTGCACAAATCTTCTACAACAGCCATCCCATGAACATTTCTGGCAATAAAGACTCTTGCTAGGATGTTGTCAGAAAGTGGATGCAGAAGTGGCTTGAATGCAGCCAACAAGAATTGGAATTTTAAGAGAATTTTAGCATAGCAGGACTGTCTTTTTGTTGTGTTTGTACAGCGCCTTGCACAGTGGGGTCCTGATCCATAGCTAAGGCTCGTAGGCACTACCGCAATACAAATAATTCAAAATTTAATTTTTCTTTTACTATTCACCCAGCTCTAAGCACAACCCTGATTTCCCATGAGATATAATCAAATCTGAAGGCTTATATATTTATATTTATTGGCACCACTGTTGAAAATGAGACTTAGATTTTACATCACAATATGAAGAGGCCTGTGTCAAAAGGAGCTGTTCCTGCTAATTCTTTGAAACAGGTTATGCAGAACCTCACCAGGATCAATTAAGTATGGCATGGGCAAAGCCTAGAGACTGAGGATAACTCAACAAGCAACAGGTCAAGGCTCTGATCCCGCAACTGACTGTGCGGGGCTCACACAGAGCAATACTGAAATCAGGGGGGTTCTGTGTGGGCAGAGGAATCCCTCCACAGCCAGTAACTTGCAGGATCAGGGCCTAACAAAACAATAGCAGGGCTCTCTCTGTGAGCTGCCAGTTCAAACATGCCACTTTCTTCCAGATTCAAATGCTTCCCTCCACTTTAATTTCTATAGTCCTGGATCTCCAGGATGATTGGTGGGGATACCCATGGTTTGGAAAGTGAGCAGCAGCTCCGTGTTTAATTCCAGAGAGAGAAGGAAAGGGCTAGGGATGCAACCAAGCTGCCTAACATTTTCTGTCCCCTTGGCTCTACGAATTTTGATGACACTTTATTTCCAGCTCTGGCACACTGTCCTTCTTGGTGATGAACTGGTACAGTTTAGGAAAAGGTGCTCAATATTTTGTTAACTCTGCTGTTGTTGGCATTACTCCTGTCATGGTTCCTTCACCCTGCCCAGTGCAGGGGCAATTTACGACAGAGTGACAGCCTTAGCTCTATGTTTCACGATCCTTCTCTAGCCACCCGCAATCCCTTGGGATCAAACATTTGCCCCAGCACCATTGAGCAAGCAGTAGATCCAGCTAGCCTGTGTGGATTTTGCAGTTGTGAACCCTTGGCTTTCCCTGGGTGGGTTGTGCACCATAACCGGGCAGCAGGCTGCCCAAAGAAATAGGATAAAATTCTGATCTCCATTCGCTGGAGTAACACTGGCGTAAACTTCATTGATAGCATCTGAATTTGAGGTTCCAGGCAGTTTATGTATTTCAGAAACAATGCTCATGATACTAAGTCACACCATCACCATAACATACCCCTGGATTACTAGGGGCCAGTTTATCATTGTTCTACCCCTTCTATTACCTTTGTGCAAAGTGGGAGGAAATGCTAATAAAGCAGAATTATAGCATTTTGCACTGGTGTAAACAGTTGCACAAGGTGCAGGCTGATAATAAATTGGGCCTCTAAAGTCCAGAGTCAAGTACTCAGACTGTTTCTTTGCCCAGCAGTTATAGCCAGTGTTAACACCAGCCCCACCCCATTGTCATTATGCAGCAGGCGACAGGACCATATACAAATTCACCACTGCACGGAACAAATCTCTGATGGCTTTTCCTTAACAATCTCTACATTTCTCCCTCTTTTCCCCCTCTCCCCTTCTTCTAGTTTCCAAAAAACAAGCCTTCAGTGAATATCATCGAAGCATGACAGCCTGCCATCCGATAGATGGACTCCATTTCTCGCTCTCCCTCTCTGCTTCTGAGCCCTGATGACTGGAGAAGTGAAACACTGTCGGAGCGGTTTGGAGAGACCTACTGGTTGTCCAGTTCTGGCATAAATCTCCTTGCCCTTGCTCTGCAAAAGACAACTGGAGAGAGAGAAAAAATCCTGAAGAAAAAAAAACCCCACATAAGCCACTGTCTGAGAAGGAAAAGCTTCTGTGAAACTGATGCCTCAGGCGATTCTGTATCGGACTCACAATTCACCCAGGCTGTAACAAATCCCAACAGACTCATCTTCCTCCCTCCCGCCTCCTCTGTCTCCTGGAGCGATTTGCCTCTCTTTGGAGATCACACAATTTCATTGTATTTTGCTTCACTGTCGCCGCGTGTTGACAGCATCAACATGGGCTCAGGCTGCATTTGCCATTTCTCTTCAGAGAAACGAGAAAGAAACAGTAGACAGTGGCAGAGAAAAGGATTGTGGCTGCTGTGAACTCTAATCTCACTCCATAGCACTCATGTGTGGCGTGTAATACATTTTGCAGGTGGGATTTTTTTGTATGTTTGTTTTTAACAAAGGCACATTACAGTTTCCATCTGGATGGTCACTACTTTGCTGGCTGCTCTCCAGTTGAGATCTGCAGCACTTGTCTCTATTTTTGCCATCTCTCCTATTCTCCAATGCTGTAATCCATCTTAGGTAAGCAGGGTGGAATTCAAAACACTGTGGGGCACAGACCAACAGAGACAAGAAGCCAACCGTCGTTTTGGTTCCAGGAGAACTTGGACCATTTCTTTATGATATTTACGACTGGGTCTGACTGATTCCACCTATAGTGTAACAAATGGTCCTTACAAAATGTAGCCAGTTAGTGGGGAAAAAAACAAAAAACAAAGTCATGATGATAATGGTTGCTATGCAAGGATACTAGGTTTCTAGTGCTGACAGCTATCCCATTCACTTCCAAGGGATCCCTGCCCAATGATGGCCAAGGACACTCCTTAACTAGATATTTTTTTTACTGGGGTTCCAGTGAGTGGATCTGGCTCTTCTTCCACTTTGTATCTCCACTATTCATCATGCCCCTGTATTGCCAGGTGTTTGTTAAGAGTCCTTCCTAACTCCTCCAGAAATGTGGGGAGGGAAGGGAGGAGTCTCCTCTAGTTTAATAACTGCTTTATGTTCATAAGTTGACAAGTTCCCTGTGACCTGAAATGTTTTGAGGCTGGTAGGTGAGAGGTCATCAAATGGAAGAGATTTACTATCAGAGCTTTGCCAGCAGGCTTTTATATGTATTTGTTTAATTACTCTACAAGGCCATTCCATACATGCTGGGGGATAACATGGGATCCTAATCATTCCATCAAATAGTAAGATGGGTTGGCCCAAATAGGATTTAAATCCTCCCATTGCAAACAAATTTGCAATCAGGCAAGACAATGATTCAAAAGCCACTGCAAAGAAACAGGCTGGTAGTCACTGAGTTTAGACCTCTTTCCCCTTTGATATCCATTAGCCTTTCTCAAGTAGTCAGTCCAAGAGAAAGGCACTGGGAGGTTTGCATGCAGAGGCATTTTATAAACAAGGGCTTCCCCACTGCCAGTTTCACGGAGGGGGCCAGCCCCACCCATAGTTTTCTAAATTGGATCCTTAGCCAAAAGCTACTCCCCACCACCAAGAGGGAGAGGTCAATACCTCTGATACAGTTGGAGCAATAACCACTTTTTAATGTACAATAAAAGATTCAAGGCACATCTTTCCTTGTAAATACCTGAGTTTAGGGATGATTCCTCTTAGCCTACACTGGGACAAAATGCCAGATCTGAGGGATCATGAATTTAGCTGTTTTCTCCCTCTCCCTGGTTGCAGGCAGCAGTAAAGGTTCAATGGGGGGTTAACTTTGATTAGGCTGTGGGCTAAGGTGAGCAAGAAGCTACAACGTAAGTAGAGCCACAGCCCTACTTAGTCAGTAGATGTCTACAGGAATGTCTCAGGCTTAGTACGCATCTTATGAGAAAGAAACGTCATTCAGAATCCATAGCCTACCTATAAAGGAAGACTTAGAACAGATGGTATGCCATGTACAAAATGATAAGAGATGTTCTGTCATAATCTTAGTGCAGACAAGCAAATAAGGCCCTAAACTCTAACCTAGCTGCTGCTGTGGAAATTCAGCCTGGGTAATTTATCAGGGTGATGTTTTTTATACAAAAAATGTTTCTGGGAATGCAGAGAACATTCCCCATTTTTGAAAGTAATTGTTATTGTTTCCTAGTGACAGGTTTTTAAGCTATTTCTATTCCAACAGTGATGCACTTGTTGTTCGTTAAGGGATGGAGAAATTAAAATGTGAGGCATAGATGCTTGTTCACAGTTAAGTATTCAAGCCATGATATGGCAGCTGGCAAAAGGAGTGTATCATTATGCTCCATAACTGCAGGCTTCAGAGGTAAGGTAATAATGCTATTAGCGAGAAAAACAAATGTAGGCCAGGAAGCAAATCCACTTGTACCAGAAAGGAATTCCAAGCTATCAAATGCAGCTGACTCTCTTAATGCAGATGTTTTCAGGAACTATCAACTGAAGGGATTTAATAAGAATATACTTCATCTAAAGAGGTGCTACATAAGGAAGGGAGAGAGAGAGATAGAGACATATAGGCCCTTTTGAAAATTTTACCCATTTTCAAAAGCAACTTAGGGGCTTAGAAGCCCAAGTCTCATTCAATGCAATTTAGGCTCCTACGCACTTGTCACTGTTGAAAATGGAATGTAGGCATCTAAGTCACTCAGGCACTATTGAAAATTTTACTCTTAATCAGGAAAAAGACATTGCATTAAGAAACAAACAAGCATTAAAAAAAAAGAAGAAGTGTATGATCTGCAATCACTTAAAGGATGCCCAGATTTTCCAGTGTGATTTTGCTTGCAAAGTGTTTGCAAAGTGTAATTTTTGCGGTATACTAAGGTGCAAGCAGGAGTGCACTAGAGTGAAGGGATTCCAAAGAGCCCCGCGATAAGTGATTTTCCACTAAACATAAAAAACAAAACAAAACAAAGCAAACATCCAAATGGCTCTGCGGATGGTGTGCAGTCGCTGGAGACTAATTCAACTGATTTCCAGGAACCAACTATGCATAGTCGAAGTGCACAATAAAGGAATAAGAGAAAACTACCTCCAGGCCAGCGTATGTCTAAAGTTAAGCACCACTTGCTTTATTTCTTAAAAGCACAATAACCCTGTGCTTATAGGCACTAATTTAGTCAATATATTCCCCCATATGAGGGTTCAGTGAAACTGTACCACAGAGGGCGATGTGGAATAAATACTTCAATGCAGGGCGTCCTTCCAATTCACAATCGTAACTGCCATCAACTTCTCAGTCACTTCCCCCATACGCTAAGAAACAGCACAAACTCGGTTCCCTCATTCTTTTAAGAAAAATTAGAACATTTATGCATTTTAAACAGACAGTGAATTAGAGGAGAACACACCTACATGCCTGAAAGTGTTTGTAGAATCTCAGCTGGTGGTAACTTCCTGGAGGAGATGTGAATGGGGAGAAACAGATTGTTAATTCTAGTATTTGCCTAAGATATTAAAGGTCAAGTCATTCAAAAGTGTATATCACAGCAGCACATGCATTTCAGAGATATAAGATGTGGGCACTCGTATGTATCGTCAGATTTCAGTTCCTAGCAGACAAAGAGGGAATGGAGTTCATTCTGCGTGTTGCGCCATATGTAATTTCCTCCAGATTTGCAATAAGGCTTACCATCACAATGTCCTAAACTATCATTGATTTGCCTGTATAGAGACCACTAACAGACAGGCAAACTATCTACATGTAGTGAATTTTCCTTGTTTGTTAAAGCAACATTCTGATCGACAAAATCACTATGTTAAAAAGTCATCTACTTTCTCCATGGCTCTCCCCCTGCTGTGAATTCAGTCATATCCACTGACCATACAGACTAAAATAAGCATTTCCCTACTTTTTAGTTCTCTTAGCCCACCCACCTATGAGAAAGTGAGCTGGATTCCGTTCTGGCTCATGCATCACCATCAGTTCTGTTTAACTAAGTTCCAACTGCAGAACCTTTATAATTAGTGACAGAGCCAGGAAAGGCACAGCTTGAATTTCGGATCCCAGATGGAGTCACAGGGCTGGCAGCTAGAACAGCCATCTTTTTCCTTTCAAGCTGAATGAGTCTGATGTGGAGCCACAGAGAGAGACAATAATGACGGAACCTCGTGATGCCATTTTACACTTTTCAGCATATCACTGTCCTTTTAAACTGATAAGGAGAAACTCACTTGACGCAACCAATTGTTAAACAATGTATTTATATCAACAATACCCCTTTCTCAGCTGCTGTAACTGACATTACAATACATGCCCTTAAATCAGATCAGATTCCCTTGACTTTTTAACTATAGGGAAGTGAGAGGTTAAAGGAGGGAGTTTATCAACTTTTACGTCAGGTTCTAGTGCACATTTTATGTCTGTCCTTTTAAAATTACACTGCAGCAAAAAGATTTGGCAGGAAGCTCCGATCAACTGCTGAGAGAGAGGAGAACGGCTAGAACTTGTAGTTCGTTAGCTTTTGGGGTCATTGTTGTCTTGCTGATGCTATTAAGAGTGCAACACAATGGTGAATGCTCTTACTAGAATTGAAGTTGTAAAACATTTAATCACAGGGCGGAGGGGGGGGGGGGGGGGGGGGGTGTCTAGCACAATGGACTACTCCAATCCTCATTGAGGCTACTGGGCACTACCACAGTGGAAATAATAGACAGTAATAAGGTCCCTACCTATATTCCAGAAGTGAATATGTAATGTGTCCTGCCATGAGCATTACATATACAATCTCTTTTTCTGCCCTTGCAGCACCTCTGAGATACAGTATGTACAGTTATGTTGAAGAATGAAATCTTTAGCAATAAGACTGACTGTGAACCTGGAGTCTGTAGAAAATGCAAAGCTGCCCTGTGGCACCTCCAGTGCATGTGGGAGAAACATTAAGATCACAAAACACAGATTCAGAAGGAAGTCCCCACATCCGCCTACTCTTCTCCAGCCCAGCAGAGCCAGCCCTAGACACAGCACATATTGTACAGACACCACCATCTTCTCAAGTGAAAGACCTTGCAATGTGTTTCTTGTTCAGAGCCATTTCATGTTCTCAGCATGGCTAACTGATAACAGAATCACCGCTTTAAGAAAAGGCTAATATAAATAGTCTCCTGACTGCTGTGTATAGTTTAATAGCTGCTTTACAAGAGAAACATGAAACCTAAGAGGGCTAGCATGAAAAATCTTTTTGGAAATCTTTATGCATAAAGGAGCACAGCGTCTAAGCATCCACTGTCTAACAGAACTGCTTGCGTCCTTCCCACCCCCTGCCCCAGCTCTGAAGCGCCAGGGCTGGTTGTTAGTGACTATCAATCACTTGTTGAGATGGGGCTGAAGCATCCCAGCTGTGCCAGTCTCAGTCTGACACCAACAACATCAGCTAACCCAACGCTACGTCTTAGCCTTTTGGGGGAAGTAGTATTAGCTGACGTGCCTTTGCAAGGGGAATGGGCTCTGCAATTTAACTCGTATTACTATGGACACTACTTCCTCTTGCTTTCTTTTCCAAACACCCTAGAAAAAGATTAATCCGAGAGCCCCTGCCCCTTCTTTATTATACAAGTAATAGGAACAGGTAGGCTTTAGCGACAAAATCCTCAGCACAGGGATGTCTTTTAGGACCACGCACAAATAACGCCCTTTCGAGATGCACAGCCAAATAAATACCTGGGACTCACCGGCTTACAAGACAATGGCCACTGTAAGAATGGTGCTAACAATCTCGCCTCCCCAATCAGTAGCTGCCAAGTGATATTACTTTCCCATTCTATGCAAGGCTCCCAACAAGTAGGATTTAGAGTGCTAAAATCACAAGAGATGCTATTTTGGTTTTGGGATACTTCTGATTGGAGAGGTTTTCTAAAAGATGCGTGTTTCAGCTGTTGACATAGCCTTAAAAATTGGGCACACTCCCACCTCAGCATTTACAGACTAGTGGCAAATTGACACACCCTTATAATAGCCTTCCTGGGACTCCATGGTGGCAGGCAAAATGTTCTATTTCATTAACAAACGCAGTATATAGAAGTTAGAGCAGGGGGCTAGGAGTCAGGCAAACCTAGGTCCCATTCCTAGCTCCACTGTTGACTCACTGTGTGACTCTGGGCAAGTTACTTAACCTCTCTCTGCCACAGTCACTGCACTTATAAAACAATGATTACTAAGGTGAGTAAACTGTTAAGCTCCTAGAGATCCAAAATTGAAAGGTGCTACACAAGGGTAAAATATAGTACATGAACACAGAGAGAGACACTGAAAAAGAAAACCTGGGCACAGGGCTATTTTTAAAATTACATTAGCCAAAGCTGCCACGAGAAAATCTGATAAAAGGGGAGAGACCTTGTGAGATTTGCCAAATGGTTCTGACTTGTTCAATGCTTCGCTCTTGTCATTTTTCCTGTCAGCTGCCAGAGAAAATCAGGGCGTGAAGTTGACTCCATGTTGCTATTACTCCATGTACTGTACTCAAGAAACATTTTGTCACCCACTGTTGATGGATTGCTTTGTAAATGCTTTACATAGAGCATTTAGGTGAAACAGTTATACAGCCCGTGCTTAATGGTCCTTTAATACAGTAGAAAAGAACTACTGTAACACACAAAGCTACCATGGACTACACTGATACTTTCTCATTTAAAATGTATTCATAAATTCTAGTTTTCATTCAGCATCTTCCATGTAACTAAAAGAAAGAAAACCTGCCTGAAGCAAACACTCATGGCTGGACAAACATTGGTTAAGGGATGTGGAACCGAAGTGTACTCTTGCACATTTGAGGTGATCTCTTCCATTAGGAATTTTTATAAAAGGATGGTCTCCCCACCCACTCGCACAACAGTCGAGTTTTTGTTTAGAGGGGTAAGTAACTGGCAAGAACAAGAAGAGCAAGCATAGGTGGAGGTTTAAAGGCAGTCTGAGTATGTGTTTGAGGCTAGCGAGTCCATTGCAGTGGTTGAGTTGCTCCTTCTCAGGGAAGTTGATTTTAGCTACAAGGGAACTACTTTTCCTCCTCCTCCTAGTTAAGCGGCCAAAGCTACAGAGAACTATGGGATGTGCCTAGTAACAATGGGATTCCTATGTATGTACTTACTACCACACAACTGACAAATTATGTTATAAGTCCCATTCCTCAATCCACAGCTACTACACGACAGGTCTTTTGTGGAGGAATGGCGATAAGTGATGCTAGCTAAGCCCGGGCGCCTCCTTAGACCCAGTACACCATACTGAGACAACAAACAAGGCAATATGAAGTCCTACTCCTGAGGCACAGAGAGCTGCTCAGCCAGCTGCTCCACATTTGTTTGTTAAGCTTTTTAAAGTCCCTGACGTAGTTTGTATGAGATACGTGTCACTTTAAATTTCTATAAATACCTAGATGGAAATAATAAATGTATTCAGTTCAATAAATGATCTTCATTTTTCACTTGTCGATTCTACAATGTGTTGTTGTTCTGCCCCATGGACTCGGTTAGAACTACACAATGCAAAGCAATAAGCAAATCTGCTATTTACACTGAGACAACTGATGAGCCGAGAGCAGGTAAGGAGGCCGTTGTTAATCATTCACTTCACCTCATCCTACAAGGAAGGGAGGTGCCAGTCCAGCAGCCCTTTGTTCTGGCACTTGCTAGATAGGGTGGTCATGAAAGCTTCCTCTTTCTTCACTGCAGTGACCCAGGCTATCTTGGTTAACTTGCCCTTTAAAAAAAATAAAAAGGCTCCTTGAAGAATTTGTTTATCGTAAGGGGACACGAGACCAGAACACATCCACTTAACTGTTGATGGGGTCCAAGAAAGGCCGTGTGCAGCAGAAGAGCCAATATGGACTCACCAGAAAATAGGTAAGTGACTAAGGAAGCATTCACATCAAGGCTGCTATTAAATATATGGAGGAAGCTACAAGTTCTCTCCTTGCTGTTTGTTCAGATCTCTCTACTGTCTTCACTTCAGAGCATCAGACCAGCTCTCCAACTAGAGCATGTTGGCTCCTTTAGTTACAGTTGCTGTTATTCCTAAAACATGGGTAGGAAACGACATTGCAAGAAAGGGCAGAGGACAGGAAAAGGTCTGCTCACACACACACACACACACCCAAGCACACTGGGTAGCATCAAAAACAAGAGACATTTAGAAAGTGCAAATTATTTATAAACACTATCAACAAAGTGCAAATCTACATGTAACGTTTTACAAAGAAAAGCTGTAACTGAAGATGACAAACAAGGGAGGCAAGTAAATTTGAGGAATGGAGAAAACAGGCTGTTCTCCAGTTGCCTCTTAATTTATGCCAACTTGATGTGTCAACCCAGAACACTGCCTTTGTCAACCTTCATAAAAAGGACATCAACCACACAGGTGATTCCAACATTAATGGTGTCCAAAGGGAACCTAGCAGTTGCTCTAAAAAAACTTAAAAGCTTTGTTCTGAGCTCAGGCTCTGGCAAAAAGATTTCCATTCTAAATTGCATCATCCAGCTCCCGTAGCTGAAGCAGTATATCCGTTAGATTTCTTGTTAGGTGTGACTTCCTTTTGAAGAGTGGGGATACCTTTGCTTGTCAGCTGCTCTCTGGAAAGCTTGCTTTTGTTTCAAAGGAAAATACTGATAAGAAATGCTACAAAGAGTTACCTGTACCGAACAGATCACATATTTAACCTGTATTTAAAAGGAGGTTCTGAAGGTCTCCAAAATAAAGACACACAAAATCCTCAAACTGGCCTTATTAAAAAACAGAACAATCCATAGATCAAACAATCAAGAGACAAACCGCTAAGCTACAGGACAATTAAAAACTGACTTTAAATGGAGAAAAAACAGAGCACACTCCCTCAGTAACAAGTAGCTCAGACATTGGAGGATGCTGTGACAGAGCTACGCTGGAAGTGGTCAGGAATGTCCTGGAAGCGACGGTGGTGGGCCAAGTTCCGGCTCACCCATTGCTTAAGGCTGCACTTTTGGGTGGGTTTCTTGGAGAACCTTGGGTATTTTCTGCAAGAACAGAAGGGGAATAAAGGTAACAGAATAATTAAGGCAAATATGGTGTGTAGGAGCATGCATACAAGAGCAGCAGGAACAGTGGCTAATTTGCAAATGCCTTCCCTCGTCCCATGGCACTTGCAGTCTGCAGACACTTTTCTATTGCCAAAAATTTTAAAAGAAAATTATCTTGCCACGCTGCCATGGTAAGTACAGTAGTAGAGTACAAGAAGAGTCCTTCTAGGAGCATTATCTAGTGCTTTCTGTTACCCTCCTTGCTGAGATCTGTCTCTCCATGGCCTGCCAGAGAAGACTGAAGGTTGCTCAGTTCATGACAGTTAAATGAGAAGTAAATTCCCCCAGAAGGAGCTGTTGTCATGCAAATATTGCCATTTCTTGGCTCTAGCACATTCTGAAAAAGCTGCTGGCTTTGTTCAAACAAAAACCCTCAAAAATACTTCCTACAATGGCTTAAAATAAAACAATCAAAAAAATTCCCACAACCCAATTCCATTTTCGTTAACTTGTTTGCAACACACTTTCAGATGCAGGAAAACAAAGCTTTTCCATATTAGCTGTCAGATGCTGCCTTCCCCCTTCTGCACATAGCAGAGTTGGCTTCTCTTGAGTCTTTTCATTTGGTCTGGGCAGATAAATCAACATGGCTAGGAAATAATATTTATTAACTGCAGAGCCATCTGGGGAACCATGAGACACTGGGTGGGGGTCACGCTTACAAAAAAATTAACTATCAATATAGTTATTTAGGAGAAGGAGCATCTGTCTGCCTCTGGAAATTCACACCAACAGCTTTTCAGTTCTACAACAGTGGTTCAACACAAGTTATCGTGATTAAACAGGCCTAAAACAGCAACGTGGCCTGGCAGTTTCAGTCCTGAAAGACTGGTGTCCATATTACAGGTCACCATCACAACTCGCTCTCTGAAGAGTTGGAGATGGGGGAGGGGGGAGAAACTCCTCTAGGGAGGACAAAATTCAAAGTAAGTGTTACACTGGCAAGATAACACAGAAACAGTGTTACCAGACACTTGGGCTGTCACCTTGATTTGGCTTGAAGCTTTGTTTCCAACAGTGTCAGTCAGGCACTTCTGGTGAGCATTACATTCTGAATAGATATTTAGAATCCAGGAGACCTTCCTTCTCAAGTTATAACAATGTCAAACAAAGGTCAGTGTTCAGGCCTTAGCTACTTCATATTCTTACAGTGAATTTAAAAAAAGACAAAACAAAACACCTCCAACAGAAGGTCCTGAACAAGTTACTTTGTATAGTCTGTTTCATTTTCCATTGTCAAAGGGGCTTTCCTCTGCTCCCTTCCCTCCTTACAAACATGTGATACCATACCTCATGGTGAGGTCTGATGGATGCTGCCATCTGCGGTCCTGGGTTCGGTACTCCCTGCTGGCAACCTTATTCATCAGAGCGTACAACTCATTTAATGCATCTGCAATTCAGCAAAAGTAAGTAGTTAATGGGAGATCAAGCATGCTACATGAGGCTGGAAACAAGAGAGCAGCAGCATGGGAACTCCGGCCCCAGCTCTTAATGTTGCTCCTGGTCCTCAAGACAGATCTTACGCCAAGGGACAAACAGAGTCTACCAGAAAGACAAGAGGTCTACGCATGTCCATTTTCAGGGACACTTATGCAACATTTCCCTGGAAGCAGACACCTGCTACTGACATGAGTAGGATATTACTTGCTATGATGCTTTCCAAGTAGCGGACTCAGCTCCTCACTGCAGTGACGGCCCACTGCAAGGATCCATTTGCACACGTCTATAATCAGAGTGTCGCAAGAGACATCCTTGTCCACAATCACTTACATCCGAAAAGGATGTAACATTATCATACAGCAGTGTTACCTACTGCACAGAACAAGCCCTTTCAGTAGATACAGTAGTTCTCCAAAGGCCTCACACCATGAATCCTTGGCAAGAGAATGCAACGGATGGTTTGGCAAGATACATGAGTCTTTGTGTCCAGGTCACAAAATAGCTCAGACCATATCTGCAATGCTTGTACTCTTGCCCACTCCTCACTTCGGTATCTGGTAATGCAGGCGGAGACTACATACTGCACACTACAGCAGAAGTCCATTGTTATGATGTTGCTACCAACAGCAAACAGTGCCCCTCCTCAACCAACATGAACGCAGGTATTTTTCCATCTTGCTACTGCAGTCATGTTGCTAACACTAGGAGTGGTTCTACGTGAGACTTCTTCATTTCACAGGAAGTGACTGCCTACTGAGTGCATCTATGTAGACTGGCTGCACCTCTCCTTCACCCACTGGAGCATCAGCTTCTGTTTGAAGTGACCAGTTCAGAGTCTGACAAGAGGCCATTCAGTTTTACAGCACACTTCCTAAAGATGACTCTTTGAAAGTCCACGGTCTGTGTTCAGCCATTACAGTTTAGGGAGAAACGCAAAGCACCAAGAGGGCTAACAACATGCAGATACCCACCATGAACATGTTGCAGAGCTGTTCAGTCCAGACAGCAACTCATCCTTTCAATCCATTTAGATTAGAAGTCACTGGAAGATTTGTGGTTTCTTCCAGTTTATCTATCTTGAGCAACTTCCCACAAGTTCTTACTTTTTCTACACCAGGGCACCTGACAATTTCAGTCATGCCATCTTTATGCCATCTTTGGGCCATCCCCCAACCCCAAACCTTGTGCCAGTAGGGCTGATGTAACTTAGATCTGTTTTCTGTTCTCAGCTGCTGGGGACAGAGCGCAGAGGCACTCTGGCCAGATCTCCTTACCCGTCGAAAGCCCTAGTACATTGGGGCAGTAACAGAAGACTGGTGTAGAGCTGTTAAGCCTTCTGTACACCAGCCACAGATTAGGGGAATGCAATAGTCTGTTCAGCTGGCTTCCCTTCTGCTTTACCCCAGCGTGATGTAAAGCCAGAAGAAAAGGTCAGAATCAGGACCGCAGTTTTATTTATAAGACAGAAATTGGTGATTGATCTTTTCCATAAGGTTCTTCTGTCCATCCCTCACTCCCTCAGGGCCAGTGCAGGGTTTTTCCCTACAGCAGAGCATCTCAAAAGTGTCATAGCGTGGAGCACATTTTAAGATGTTTTATGGACATTTCTCCCACCCATTTACAAAAACATAAGCTACTTCCCTTTCCATTGGCAATCACAGCAATTGTTTCCCTAGAAGAGTAACATTAAGATTTGTAGCTTCTTTTAGCAGCTGAAAATGAGAGCCAACACCATGTAACTTGCCAATTCTCCAGACTACCAATGGTTCTTAGATCACAGTGGAGAACCAATGCTGTACAGTAGAAATAATCCCTTGCACCTCTTTAGCAGCATCTGGTCTCCTTGGAATTTTTGGATTCTTCAAATACTTGGCGCTTCTAGCACTATTTAATCCAATGATCTCAGAGTGCTTCAGAGAAGGCAATAAAAATTGTTATCACTATCTACAGACGGAGAAAGGGGAAGGGAGGCACAGAGATGAAGTGACTTGCCATGGTCAGTCTGCATGAGAGTCAAGACTAAAACTTGGATCTCAACTCCCAGGTCTGTTCCCTGACCACGGAGTTATTTTCCTTCGCCTACAGATATATCCCCATCCCCCCAAAATAGCAAGACAGGGAGAAGCTAGACATTTACATTCCGATTTTTGTAAGAGCTGAGCTCTCATTTAGATACCAAGAATCTCCAACTGTTCTCAATGGGAACTTCTGGATGTTGAGCTCTTTTGAAAGTCTGGTCACTCGTCTTAAACTTCCCTTTAAAAAATATATATATCCCGCCCCCTTATTTGTTGCATTTGGCTTCCCACTAGAGAAGCTTCTGCTTTCACACTGGCATTGGCTTGGGGGAGGGGAGAGGAAGGATGGAGGTGATGCTACCATTGAACAGCTGACTCCCAGAAGCTTCCCCTACCCCAAACACCATCTAAGTCTCATTGTGAGTAGGCACTTTTCCCAACCTGCTGTACCAACAGAGCCCATACAAGTCCAAACTCATCCCGCTTCCCAGGATTTGAATTTATTATGGGTTTGGGTGGGGTTTTGTTTGTTTGTTTGAAAGAACCAGTTCAAGCCTTCTTCCCAGATGTGGTTGTGATTAGGATTCCTCCTTCAGGAAAGCTCAGCCCACACCATAGATCCTCTCCCTAGAAGAGCACTCCCCCATACTTTATATCCAAGAGCATCAGTGAAATCAGAAGAACCCACTTAACCTCTGCCCTTAGGTCCCTTGTATTACTTAATCCTCCTTGTCTGCAACACTTTATTTAATAAAGATAGTTAACCTTCATAAATTAAAGGTATTAAATAAAATCAGGTCTTCACAGTTCCCTATGGCACTTCACAAGTTGCCTCCTCTCTCTCTGCCCCAGAGGATCCAGCTTCATCACGTCTTTGCCAGGCTGCCAATGGCATGATCGAGTTGGGAAGCGTTACAATGCAAATTATGCATTTCTAGAGAGGAGATAAACAGATCACCTCCAAGTGGAGGCAGCCCTGTATATCTAACATGCTGTGTCAATCTGCCCTTGGACAGAACTCCTGGTACAGTTTTATTAGCAGAGGAGCTCTTAAGGAAAGAAGCTATTAGATACCAAATTGGAAGAGCTAGTATTGCTTTCCAGGTACCAAACAGCTCACAAGTCTGAAGAGTCTCCACATGATGCCATGAAAGTGGTCTGCGCTGCAGGTGGTGCAAGCACTATTCAATATGCACAATTATGATGTCAATATCCTGCAAAGACACATTTAGTGAACAATGTTGCAAAAAGCAAGAGAAGGATATATAGAGGGAGAGGAAAAAACTCCCCACTAAATTTGTTCTTCACCTGCCCTTAAAAAAAAAAAATAGGGGTTCTCAGCTATTCTGTATTCTCTCTCTTCTAGACAAGACGAAGTAACAATACTGGGTGAACATTCAATGCCAAGAGCCTCAACAATAGTCACTTCCAGTTATGAAAATAGGGAGCCTCATCACTAGTGACAAATGATTCTGGACCAAACAGAATCCACGAGGCTCTCATCAAGAAGGATTTGATTCTATTTATGGTTGAATGAAGAGCAATATGAAGTTTGAATACTAAGCTAGCGGTCAGCTGGCAAATTTCTTTGTGGTCAATAATGGACAGTTTCAACCAGTCATTTGGAAACAGATGTTCAAATCACATCACAATTTTACATCCGCTAGAACACAGCCTCTGCAGCATTTAGATTCATGTGGAAAGCTGGAAACAAATCTATTTCATCGGAAATATTCTATTCCCTAGTTCTTGGAGGATATGCATACACCCAAAGCCACAGGTTTATTCTGCCCTGGGTCAGTTCACTTTGCCAGACAGGGAAAAGTTAGCTCAGAAAATGGACTCCTTCCAAACTATCCAATATCCATAAAGACTGAATGGTTGGCAGTTAGTGCAGCTGTTACCTTTAAGTGGTTTAGCCCACAAAAGCCACCAACATGAGCATAGAAAAGTTGTATTTGTATAATATTGTGCTAGGTGCTATACAGACAGGTAAAAAGACAAGGTCCCTGCCCCAAACTAGCTTACAATCAAAACAGGCAACATACGAATGATAGACAAGGGATAAGCTACAACAGAGACGTGTGGGGGAGATTATGCAGAAGAGTGTGAAAATGAAGTTAAATGCTATGCTACCAAAGTACAAGTGACAGCCTACAATACAAAAAAAAGCTTAACCAAAGTGGTGGCATAACGAGATATTACTTTCAGTCACCTGTTTTGTTACCCCTTCCCAGCAAGAGGCAGTGGAAAGGCACAGATCTGGTGGGCTTTCTGGCCTAGATTCCTGGAAGAATTACTCACAGCTATAATACGTGTGCTGTGGCTCCTTGACAGGGTTGGATTATAAATTCTCACTGGGATAATAGGTGCATGGAGAAAGGCACCTCTCAGAATTAAACCCAATCAACTGAGAAGGTTTTTATGTGACCCAACTGGAAAAAACCCTCCTACCCGTCACGCTACATTCCAAGCCTAAAGTTATTTGGAACAATAGACATTTCCACTAAGAAGCAAAAAGATCACACACAACATTTTTCCTCAGTGAAATGGATCTTCCATTTCACCCGCCAGCCTCGTTCACCAGGCCCCTGCCTGATTTGCTCCAACTCGGAACATATGCCTTGCATTTTTAATTTGAAAGGAGGAGAAAACGGGTCATAATTAGCTTTCCTCGCATAGTCCCCTCTGCATTACTTATGCTATATTCATAGACTGGAAAGCAGCCCCGTGGCTATGCAGCTGTTTGCACTGCCCAGAGAAGTGGCGGCTCCATGTGAGCAGCGGCACAACTGTCAGTTTCTTGAAACTCTCAAGAAAGGACAGTTACCAAACCCATGAAAAGCCTGACAAATGAACGCAGTTTGAGGCCATCTTTGTAAGCCGCTAGGGCCATCTTTAACCTCCGGAGCTTCTCAGTTCCACCCACAATTCCTTCAGGTGTAGCTCTTCATCTAATATTATGTTTGCTCTTTATGTGGAGATTCTTCTTTAACCTCTGTCAGCAATAGCTTTTGTATGATTGATCTGAGAGGGGCACAGCCTAAGAGGCCTGGAAGGTATTAGCAGGAATTTCAAGTCTTACTACTTGACATGCAAGTTAAAGGTTTCACAATTTTAAGTTCTATGCTGCCAGCTGGAAAGAATGGCCTCCCATCCTAAGCACCACCAGAGACAAGAGCCCATGTCTACCTCTCTCATTTTGCATTTTATGGCCAATTTATAAGTGCAATGCCCTCACTGCTCAAAGTGCCAATTTTTGACAGTGTACCTGCATTTACCACACAACTTTCAGCATGTGCATCAAACTCCTTGTCTATCCCAGCTATTACAGGCAGAGAAACTGCTTCTGAGGTAGTCCCAAAGCAGGAGTGGTTACATATTGGACCCTAAGTTCCCTCTAAGCTGCGTGGCCATGCAGTGGCCTATTAAGCACCAAGCAGGCGCTCAGGGGAAGAGATGCCTCTCCCCCAGCCCCAACCTGGATCTGCCACAGCCGGGGGAGAGGCGCCAGGGCTTGCGGCCCCAGCCTTGGATCTGCCACGGCGAGGAGGGGCGCCTCTCCCCCCAGCCCAAGTGCTGCTGTGGGGAAAGAGGGCTGGGAGGAGTCTCTCTCCCCACCGTAGCCCCAGGGCAGCCTGCACCCCAAACTCCTCATCCCCGGCCCCACCCCGGAGCCTGCACCCCCAGCTGGAGCCCTCCCACACACCCCGCACCCCAACCCTCTGCCCCAGCACTGAGCCCCCCCACACTCCAAACCCCACAGCCCCACCCCCGCCACATGAATTTTGTTATGTGCACCAATATGGAGATGATGTGTCACACATCACCTCCATATCAGTGCACATAAAATTCTGCACATCCGTGGGAAAAATTAGAGGGAACACTGATTGGACCCCATAGTCTCCATAAGTGGAGCAGGCGACATTATTCTTATTGCTGCCTAAAAAATTATAATATCTGAAACAACTTTGCTGAATGCAAACTAACAAAATTTGGCCCTTTTGATTTGGTCTGTGCCTTCCCCTCTTCCCAACACCCCATCCCAATCCTTCCTGCAGGTTACCTGGTGTAGGATCCGTGGAATTCTTTACGTGGGCACGCACACATTGGATATAAATATGCTTCTTTTGCTCAAGTTCTGCTTCGGAAATGCATATCCGTTGTTTTGGTCTTTAAAAAAAGAAAAAGAAAGTTAATTTTTCTGAAGCACCTGTCAAGCAAGGCTCCATGTAACAAACAGCACCATGATTCCCTGTGTGGCAAATACAGAAGTTCCTCATAGCACTGTTCTTTTGGACACACTAGTTATAAGAAGGAGATCTGGCAAGCCACTCCCAGGAGCAGGACAGCTGACGAGTCTGCTCTCAGCCTGTGGGAGGAGGGGATGCTTGTCCATTAGCAGTGAAACTATGGAAAGTTGAGGAATGACAATGGCAGGAATCACCACAAAGTCTGATTGGAGCGACACTCAGAGCTGAAGCAGGTGGAGGGAAGGGAGTAGCAAATCTAGGAGTAAGGGAAGATCATGTCAGCATCTTTCCCCATCTCACAGACTGCCTGCTTTAAAGAGACAAGGTGGGTGAGGTAATATCTTTTTATTGGACCAACTCTGCTAAATAAAAAAATATTATCTCGCCCACCTTGTCTCTAATATCCTGGGACCGACAGGGCTACAACAGCACTGCATACTGCCCGCTTTGACAATTAACATGCTTCCCTATCTTTGGTCGGCTGTATTGTTGCTGCCATCTGCTGGAAACCAAAGGGATAAAGGGGAACAGTGACAACACCAGGTGTTCTCACACATTCATAATATGAACTACATCCTAATATCAGCGGGGTAGCCGTGTTAGTCCGAATCTGTAAAAAGCAACAGAGGGTCCCGTGGCACCTTTAAGACTAACAGAAGTATTGGCGCATAAGCTTTCGTGGGTGAATGCCCACTTCGTCAGACGCAAGTCCTGCGTCTGACG